CCCCTCCAAGAGAGACAACATGATAACACATTCTTGATCTGGGCTATGTTGTTTTATCAGGAGTCACATTCTTGATGATCACTGCCCCATGAAGTAGGGACTGGGCATGAATTAGACGTCAGGAAGTTTTGGGGAACATGTCAGCACGGCATCCGCTACTGTCAGGAAGATCTTGTGTTCGCCAATGAGGGTGACAAAGCCAGATGCATGCAGTTTGTCAATCACCACCCGCCCTGGGTTTGCCAGAACCAGCTGTTGTTGGTTTAACATGGGGTATTTGTGTAAGTTGTTGCAACATAGAATCACAATCTCTACTTTAGTAGTGTTTGGTTTCTTTTAGAAATTTCTAAAAAACTGAAGTATGGTACCTTAATGTCTCTTTTCTGCAGGCTACTGAGAAGCTCTTCCAAGGCGTGAATGCCGCTAGTGTCAATGTCAGTGACCGCTGCAACAACAAAAAAAAGAGAATGTAAACGACGATAAGAGCATCCCCTCTTTGTAAGGAAGAGTTTCAACTAGTAGACATTCATCACTTCTTCCCATCCACTTACGCGACATCTCGACTATTAAAAACTCAATTCTAGGGAGGTCAGCTGCTTTCAGGTGCTCTTCCTCATCCATCAACAATCTCAATATTCTGCCACATGTTATTTTTAAGAATCGATCAAATCACACTTAAAAAGACATGCCCATCAATCACCCATCCAAAACCAATATCTTAAAAATCCATATGTTATTTTGTATTTCGATGTGGGACTCTGAACAATTACCTCTCCCTTGTATAGTTGGAGTTTGAAAAATAAATGGCGGAGTCAACCCTAACGATCAATACACCTGGAACTTTAGTTGCTTCTGGGTATTGCTGGATATTCCTATATACATTTGTCCTAGGAACCCTTCCAAGAATGGCTGTTCGTGGCCTCGTCACTTGCAGCAGAATCTTAGCAAAGGATATTGCGACCTATTATGAAAATTTGAAGCATCATCATCATCATCCAACTAACTAAAAGGGGCATATAAATTAGTTGAGGATATTACAGTTGTCTTACCGCGATCAAAAGACCAATCTCAACAGAGACAAAAACCACACCAAGGAATGCCCCCATACAAGCGATGAAATCAAATTTATCTATTTTCCAAATCAGTATTGCGGCGTCATAGTCAATCAGACCAATGACAGCAGAGATGATTATGGAAGCAAGGATTGCATTTGGCGTGTACTCAAAGAGAGGGGTTATGAACTCCAAAGTTAGGAATACAACTAAGGACATGACAATGTTTGAAACTGCCGTGTTGCAGCCTGCCATGAAGTTCACTGCTGATCGAGAAAAGGAACCTGCAACAAGACGCATACATTAGTCAGCCCTTTTTGGTAAGGAATGTATGTTTGTGTCTAATATGTATCAGACTTCACACATATTATGTTCAATGCGTCAATGTGGATGCTTTTTACGTGAGTTATACATACTTGTTCTATGTTTGAAGTGTTTTTACAAAGTTTGTGCTTGAAATTTCATGTTATATGTGCTACCTGTTGCGACATAGCAGGAGGTCATTGAACCAACGATGTTCATCACTCCAAGTGCCACCATTTCCCTGTTTCCATCCAATTGATACTCCTTCATGGAAGCAAATGTTCTCCCAATAGCCACAGCTTCCTGAAAGCCGGCATTAAGAGAAATCCAGATACAAGTTATAGCAAAGGCATGTTCTTTTCAACATTATCTTTCATGATTCCGGTTTCCAGTTTAAATCTATTTTACTATATACTCGTAGTATATTTGACCTAGGTTCCAATTACCAGGACTCCAAGAACAAGGCCTAAGTTCAAGTTATAGTATTTCACTTAAATGGCAACTTTTAACTTACTGTTAATGCAATCATGCCAGCTACAATGCCAATCTTCAATCCTTTCAAGACATAATCTCCAGAAAAGTAAATTTCATTTGCAGATGGGGGATTGATTCCTTTCTCAATGTGTCTTACCTGGCGGAAACAATAAAATTAATTAATTAATTGTAATTAATAAAAGCAGATGGGAAGAATCGGCAAAAACACAAACACTTACAATCTCAACTCCTTTCTTTTCTGCATGGGTGATATAAACAAAAAATGTTGAGAGGATGACTGATATTAATGGAGCAATTGCAGGCACCCAAAAGAATTTCTTGTTCTTCTTCCCCTGATACAATATTTTTTTTAAATCTCATTACAAAGGGCAGAACATCTCGACCACATAAACAAACAGAAACAGTTACTTACAATGGCCTTCGCCAGTATGAGGAAAGCCAAAAAGGATGTCCCTATGAGGATGGTCTCCCAATTCCACTGCAAGTTTGTTGTGAAAATATAATATGAATACCGGTAATTATTGGATATATTTGACAAAATATTTGGCTGTAAAAGAAAAAAACAGGGGTTAAAAAGCATACTCCATGATGAGCTGAGCCCCATACAGACTTCATCACTGAGACAATATCTGTTTTCCTAGTAAACTTTTTTATACCAAGAAAACCCTTGAGCTGCTGGAGGGCTATTGTAATGGCTGCACCGCCCATAAAACCAACCACCGCAGCATGAGACAAGAAGTCTATCAAAAACCCCAATCTGGCAACAAGATATAACAAGAGCTTGTGATACATCAAAAGGTGAAAGAATATGAACATAGATCATGACTACATTCATTCGTATCAAGAAAGTCATAATGCGCTGTTGAGAAAAAAGAACATTGTGTCACTTTGTATATGTTCACCTGAGAATCCCCAAGGTAGCTTGCGTGACACCAGCAAAAAAGGTTGCAGTAAATGCAAGCCTCCTGTAATCACTTGCATTTTTAGTCGGATCAATTTCACTCCGAAGCATTGTTCCCAGCAAGAGCGACACAACAGCCACCGGTCCTATGGCTATGTCTCTTGAGCTTCCCATGAATGCATAGATCAATGGTGGAACAAAGCTGGAGTCTGACAAAACCCAATTGTCAACATTTTAATAGTTGATTCACACCAAGTTTGACACTACCATTCTCTGTAAATTCAACTGATTCCAACACAAACAAAAAATATTACATACATAAGCCATACTGAGGATCTAAGTTTGCTAGCTTCGAGTATCCAATGTCCTGTTAAACCAAATGTGAAGAATTCACAATAAGCCTAACTTAAAAAATAAATAAATAAAAAACAATTTGGTCATGTGAATATAAAATGAATCATAGAACCAAGCAAGCATTTAGTGTATATGACATACCTGAGGAATGCACAGGCTAGCAATGGTTAGACCAGCAGTAAGGTCTCCTCTGAATTTAGCAAGGCTATAGCTTCTTCCCCAGTCAAGAATGGGGAACACGGCCTGCAACCCCAGGACAAACTTCCTAGACATGGTTTGATCCTTAAACGACCGAAAAGGATCGTCTGCAAACATTGTTTCCTTCACCCTGTTCTTGAACTCCTTGAAGAGGTTCTCTTTCGGTGGGGGCCCCACCTTGTGAATGTAAGGCGGCAGGTTTTCTTGTCGACAAGAGGACGAACTTCTTATGTCCATTATATGTCCCAACTGCTTGATTCAATCACCTGTAACGGATCAACAGGATCAACTATTACTATATTTGTTCTTAACCAGCAAAGAATCTATTTCTTTTTAAGCATTAAAAACAAGACAGAGATGGGAGATGATGTTTCTAACATGAATCAAAGTTTGCTGCAAAAATTGTTCACATGGGATGAATGAAATGTCAAGTCTTCTTCTTCTTCTTATAAGCAAATTACCTAATGACATTTTGATGAAAATTCGGATCACTGTCAGCCACTAAGTGAGAATCAACTACTCCCCACTTGTGCTGATTCTTTCACATTTGAGGCAAAAAGTTGACCTTGAAAATTGAGCATTGACATCATTAAACTGCTACAATTAGATTATTTACTCTTAATTTGTTTTTACGTAGTAATAAATGACTAATTCAAGCAGTAAATTAAATGAATGCAATTTTTCCAAAACTATAAATTTTGTTTATGGTTTTTTTTCTTGTTCCAAATAAATTGCTCTCTTGAAGTTAAAAAGAAAACACAGAGAGGTTTTTTTCTTGTTCCAAGTAAATTGATCTTTAGATTCATGAGAGAAGAGCTCTATATATTTTACTGCGTGAATATGAAGGCATGAATTGGTTGCTTTGTGAAGTAGAAATGGATAAATTCTTTAGCAGATAAAGTCAGCCACGTTAGGTGATGTGCACGATTGACTTACAATATCAACACTATTTTGGTAGGCCTAAAAAAAGTCTTTTAGTTTTGGCATCTTTCTGATCTCTTTTAAGAAAAAAAAAAAGATAAAGGAAAAAAAAGAAATTCCTTCTAACATGATTATGGCAGTAAAGTATAGGGACAGCCACATAGGAACAAACAACCCTTTAAACTTTTTAACCAGATGGAATAAAAACACTCATTTCGTCTTATTTTTTCGTTTTTAGTTCGTCTCAAAATAACTCTTCAAACTTTAACTATATACTCTGGGGTATGTTAATTCAAAATCTCTCTTATATATCAATTACTTATTAGTATTTTTTTTTTTTACTTTTCTACGTTCTTTTTTAACTCTTTGAATGTGAACTTCTTCTCTGGCTTGATTGGCAGGAAGCCCACCCCCAAAATTCGTGGGGAAGTTCACTCATGTTCGAGCCTTAGCGGAGGCGGAAACATTGACTCTTTGTTTGTCATTAGGTTGAGAATAGTACGAACGAACAAATACTACATTGTAATAAAGTCAATAGCATTAAATAAAAAAACAGGTAATATGTTTATGGTACTTCTAACTAACCTTCGTCCTCCATAAGCCTTTCTTGAAAGGCCAGTGATAGCGGGAAAAACACGTTAGATTCGGCAATGGTTCGTTGTGGGTCCCGCACTTCTTCTTCTATGAGAAGCCACCTACAAAAAAAGAGAAAAGTAAAAAAAAATGAAGAAGAAGAAGAATGAACGAATGAATGAAAGAATTTATCATTCAAATATGAAAAATGAATATATTATTATTATATTCATCTGATTCGGGCCAAAGATGCACTCACCGGCGGCCAGCTGGCTCAAGTCTTCAATAATGGGGGAGGAGCTTCCCCTTGATCTCTGGACGTACGGTTGATCTAATATATTATTGCAAGGCTCAAGATGCACTCACCAAGGCTTTGGTCGATCTTCTCCGGCCAAAATCCGGCAAGAAACATAAATTAATTAATTTAAAGATGTTTTTTTTTCTCTCTTTCCTGTGACTCTGAAATCACGTCGAAATTTGCACTGCTTTGCCTTTCAGGACCTCTTATTATAATGTCATCAGTGGAAGAATTAATTACTAATAAATACCGCAGAGTAGATTACAGAAACATGGTATGATGAATCTGAACGCAATCATGTCCACATTCGTTCACAAAACATCATTCAGACTACTAATTGAGGAAGGAAGGAGGAAGAAGTTTATTCTTATCACAATTCGTCCTTGTTCCCTACTCACATTATACACTTTGTTTTTTTAATGCTCTCCATATTTATAGTAATTACTCCGTATTTGTTGAACTAATTTAATCAAATTACAGATGGTTTTATAAAAATTTTTGAATTTGGTTTTATAATCAAATTACAGATTATTGTTTTATAAAAGTTTTGCATCCATCGTTGAGAGTGCTTTTTTAAAAAATGTTTTAAGGTTTACTTATTATATTAATATGCAATAGGGAAGTAGTGAATGTTCACTCTAAAAAAATCAAATTATATTTATATATTCGGACAAATATACGAAGTAGAGTATTTTTTTTCACAATAAAAGTAGAGGCCGGTTCCCATAAAGGGGTTGCAATTGAAGAGGGTAGGGGCGTGTTCGGGGCGGGGTGAGCGAGTTTACCGGGGGTTAAGGAGAGTACGAATCGTCAATTTTACGAACGAGGTACCGGAGTATCCCGGGTCATCCCATGACATTGGTTTCCAATGTCATGGGAAAGTATGGACTATTTACTCAAAAAAACTAACATTTCATTTCAATTCATGTATTTCAATTCCAAAATTGAAATCTTAAATTTTAAATGACAAGAGGAGGTGCATAGATTTTAAATTAAGCTTTGTTATGAATGAGAAGAATTTGACTCAAATCTAAATTCAAAATTTTTAAGTTTTCCAAACATGAAATTTGAGCCAAATCCGGACTTGAAATCCAAATCCATGTTCCCAAACATACCATAAGGGAATTTACCTAAATAATACTAAAAAGGAGTGATTTTATATTTTTACGGAGTATTTTCTAATATAGTACCACTAATCAACGCTCAAACTGCTACATTATCAAAGTACTACTTAGGAAATTAAAAAAATTTAAATATTACATTGACAAATAAGTTACTCCGTAGATTTTAATACGATTGATCCAAATTTCACAAAAATGTAACTATACCATATACCATTATGCTTTTAATAACCAGGATTTGAAGTTGGCGGAAAGTCGTCGCAACGTGGGTGAGAAAATCCGCAGTCAACGCTCCCACGGGACCCGCGACAATAACTGGACTCGTAGGACGAGAATGAGAGGCATGTACGTGGACGGGATTGCGTCCAGCTTCTCTAATCTTTGACCAAATGCGGAACTATATGCATGCTGCCATGCTTGGGTGGGTTTTTTGAACCGACCAACTCAAAACATTTCATTTGCTCCATAGTAATTTAAAGATGTTTTGTGTGTCTTAAGGCTCGTTTGGGGTTTCATATAAGAAGTTTATCTCTCTTTTTATTCACTTTTTAAAGAAAAAAAATCAATTTAACCTCTTTGTTAATTATTGCTTCAGAAATGGTGCTAAAAATTTGATGTGAATCTCACATCAAATTTAGATGTTCATATCCACTTTTTCCGTTCCAAAATATTTTACATTTTATACACACTAAAACAAAATTTCATTTTTTTAAAATTGATATAGAAATTAAAAATAAAACTTATTTAAAAATTAAGTCAAAAGTTCTACGAAACAAAAAGTAACGAGAATATTTTATTTTATCAAATAATCAATCAAAACACCTAAATAAACAAAAGCTACTCTGTTAAAAACTCAGGCATTACCTTGAGCAAAAAAAAGTAGATACTCTATGATACTCCGTAGTATATATGGCTAAGAGTGTGAACCTATCATAATATATTTTATAATTTGCACTAAGAGCTGTCGGAGTGTAAAATAGGAATGCATGAATGTGGTACTGTAACTAGCATTTGAAAAAAGATTTATTGGGTGCACTTGACCCACTTGGACCATTATAGGTCTCCCATTGGTCCTAAGCAATCCTTGCAGATGAAGTTTTTCCCTTTTTAGAAGTGTTTTTGTGTCATTTACATCCAAACTCTTAAACAATTGTACGATTTTTCTCTAAACTTTAAAATTAAACCAATGGTCTTTGAACTTTTGAAAACGTTGTATCAATGATTTTCCTATGCCAGATTTGAAAGTACGTTACTCACACGCTCATTTAGTGTGTAAGTGTGGATTCATCAGAACTCATATATCATTCGCAACTCTGCAATATGCTTTCCAAAACACTTTTTCTATATTTTAAACTTCATGAAAGCCGAGGATAATATTCTGACTTTAGGAGTTAGTAACCAAAATTCGAATTTCGAATATCACTCGATTAAACTCTTCATCAATTGATTAATCTTTTCATCAATTCATGACATTTTTTCATCAAGCTCCAACAAATATATTGATGAACGTGTGATTAATGTGATACTAAATCTAGTGCAAAAGGACCATTGATGGAACATTTTTAAAGTTCGAGAACCATTGGCAGAGTCCGTGTAAATTTTAAAGAGTTCAACTGTAAGTGACGCGACTCCCCTTTTTCAATATAAAAGAGGAAATTTAGATCCAAATCAACTATTAAATATAAAATTAAAAATTATGAGTAACTCACAATATTTCTCTTTCCACTACAACATTATCAACTACACACTTTCACTTTCTTTAAATTTTATACCAAGTCAAATTGTGAGTTTTTTTAGAACAAGAGAGTATAATGAATTCAAATATAAAAATAATGGAGTACATCATAATATTTGTACCGATAAATACTTTTAGACTCTGTTTGATACACAAAATTCAAACTATGAAATTGGAAATAGAGATAACAATTCAAATTCTACGGTTTCGTAACACAAAAATATGTAAATATGGAAGTAGTAGTGCCAAAAATGAACTAGAATTAGATAATTCAATTCTACCCAAATCAATTCTATAGAATTCTAACTTTTAATTTAATTTCAATTCTGTCAATTCCGTGTAAAAAACGGGCCCTTAATATATTTATGAAAATATTATTGGTCGAACATTTAAAGTGAACCAAACAATACCTTTTCTCCCAAAAGAAAAGGGTATCCCGCTGAGCCGCTGCAGAAGAGTCGACGGCAAATCAAGAGAATGGGAGCGGAAGCAGAAGGCGGCGGCGGACAGCAACTAGAACCCAACCCGGCGGAATCAGTCCCAAATCCGAATCGCATAACGACCGATCAGTTCCTCTCCTGGAAACGCCAAAAGGTTCCCAATCTAGGGTTTGCTCATGATTTAAATCTTATCTCTGGGTTATTTTATCCTTGTCACCTTTCTGATGCTTCATATGGGTTCAGGAAGCCGATGCGTCTGTGAAGAAGACAGAAGCGGAGCGGAAGAGGGCGGAGGACATAGACGCCGGATTGGTGCAGATGAACGGCCGGGAGCTTTTCGCTCGCCAGCCATGGGTCTTTAACAATGACATCTATTGACCCTTTCACTTTGCCTTCTTTCAATTCATTGTGCTTTTGCAATGCCATTGTAATTTTCATTGAAAACTCATCTTAAACTAAACTCATTGAATTCTTTACCATATCTCTTTTCTTCTAAAGCTCTTCTCTTTCCCTTTGTATTTTTTTGGGATCCAAAAGACCCCAAACTCACACTGAAAGAAAATAGCATGGAGTATCTCCCTCTTTGTCCAATTTGATTTTTTCAATAAAATTTATCCAATTTGATTCACACAAAAAAAAAATCAAATTGAACAGCTATTCTATGACAGAGAATGGTCAGTAACTCGCTCTGAAGAGAGGGCCAGAGGGGAAGGCTTCACTAAGAAAACAAAAAATATGTGAATTTACAGATAAATAAAATACAGCGGCATAGATAGATGTCAAAACAACATGAATAAAAGTAGGAGAATGAGGAGGATGAGAGTACAGTGCTGACATCTAATGGTACAAGGTGGAGGTGATGATGATGTTGGCGGCGTTGGAGGAGTCCTGCCTGCAATGGCAGGGGGGTATGCAGTAACACGCGGGCTTCTCTGCTGTTGATCTGTTGGCAGTGGATTTTCCGACAAGCCACTCGGGGCAGGCGTTACAGCTGTTTTATCTGCTCCTCGACCTGTCAAAGAACAACGACCACATTTATTTCTCTTAGTCTTAGGCTCTGTTTATGGACTTTGTTAGAAAGAGCAACATAAGTAGGTTTTGAGTTGCTTGTTTGCCTTAAATGGTCAATTTAACTCTTGCCAAATGGGGCCTTAGCCTAGAGTTTGTGAATGTGTTGTGCAGCATTTACTTACAGTTAGAAGCCGACCAGCCCAACTTCAATTTCTCCCAATCAAATACCATCTTGTACCCAGTCATGAAATTTTCTGCAAACCACAGTTTCAGACTTTCAGGGGGGATTATGATAAAATTTTCAGTATATGAGAGCTACTACTCCTAAGGTACATCTTCAAATGCTACTCACGCCCTATAAGTCCATATGCTCCATCTGTTGCTTGTATGCCTAAACAGTAATAGGTGTCTCCCTGCACCCAAAAACAACTTGTGAGAGATTCTTATCAAATCAAATACGAGTATAATGCAGTCGGCCCCCACCCATGCCATCAATTTTGCTCTCACCTTCACGCAGACACGTGCTGACAATGGATAGTGTCATTGTATGTGTGCGTCTGCATGAGTGGTGGGGGCAAAATGGTTTGATCCTAAATGTCATAATAAACACAATGACTGCTCTTTGAAAAACATCTTTCACTATTTTTCTCTCCCTTGTAAATGCCTCCAAAGTAACAGAATAATGAAGCATAACTTGCGTGACTTGCATCGTTACTTTGTTGTCCTTAGGAGGCAGTTGGTTAAGTTAATCTCATAATACCTTTGTAATGGGTTCGATTCAGGGTCTCTCATATTACACTTTTAAAGTCACCTACATGTAAGATAATGCTGGGGCTAATGTTCTTACCAAGAATTTATTAGGCATGATAAGGTTACCTTGGTAATATTATGGATTGTTCCCAGGCCTTAACAATTTATCGACATAAGAAATATGTGAGCCAAACAGCTTGAGGTAGCCTTACATTCTTGCAATTTCACATAACCCCAAGAGATAATCCTATTTCTTAAAAGTAATTTTACAGTTGCAAGCATATATGGGGATAGGAAACACGGGAGTAACTCACCTCAGAGTTACCGATAGGAAACATGGGGTTCTGAACAACAAAAGTTTGGTTGGTAGAAAGTATGAGCTTCATACTGGGAAAGTTTGGTAAACCATGTGAACTGCATTTGAAATAACAGAATAACAACTTATAAGTAATAATTATAAGAATATACTAACAGAGACATTATGGGAATCGGCCAAAGACATGGTCATGAGAGTTTTTCAAAAATCCACCATTACCGAGCCTTGTAGCAGTAGGGAAAGACATCTATGGCAGAGCCAGTACCATTCATTAGTTCATCAAACTACCCACACAAAAACAAAATTGGGTGTGATTAAAAAAATATAAAAAGAATCTTAATCCTGATTATTTGTTTTAGACAAGCACAAATGTACAACAGGAGCTTAAGAGCATAAAATTTACCTTAACAACAACTTTTTCGTAGATCTCAAAAGGTAGGAACGTGAAAGATGTTCCACTGTCAACTTGTGCTTGAAATCCAGATTTCTTTAAACATGAACCCGCAAGACAATAATATTCTGCCTCCACAATGTACGTGTTGCTGAAAAAATATGACAAATAAGAAAATGAACAAGTATATTTTCCATTTCTGAAATTCCAGATATTATAAGGGACTGTAGGAGTGACATACTAATTCCCTTCAAGTGGCAAAAGGGGAGTAGATCTTTGACTTCCAGGACCTTGGTCACCAAAGAAAATTCTACCAGAATGGCTCTTGTCGAAACAAAAAGAGAAAGAATGTGGGACCAGTCCAGAATTTGCTAGCTGGCTGGGAACAGATATTTTGCCAGGTCCCAATCCCAAAACACCATCTGGAGCTGCCCCGTCCAAATAGCTACCACTCTGTTTGTTTCCACATCTGCAATTGAATATTTAGGGCGTGTTTGGGAGTTACGGCTTGGATTTAACGTAAGAATTTTTTAAAATAAAAGATACAGGGTGTGAAATGATAAATTTACGTAATTTGAAAGTCCTGGTTTTTTTTTAACAAACCATGTATACTTCTAATTATTTGACAATAAAAATAACTCCTCTCATCTATTCCCCTTCAAACCCCCCAAAACCTGACTCCCAATCATACCTTTAGAAACAACAAATGAGTTTCATCCATTGAAATCAAAGACGAGTCAAGCTGTAAAGGCACAAACATAATCATCACATACCCTATTATGACCGGAGCCAAGGGAGAGGTTTGATGTGAATTCTCACCAAATAAGACCAAATGCAACTTATCCTCAACAAGAAATCCTGAACTCGATGTACTTGCTGTAGTGTAGTTAGCCATGTAAGGGCACTGGTCCTTAGAGCTTTTGCAGTTGGGGCCCAATTCACATAATTGATGGCTGCAACGAAGGTACTTGCTGGAGCTTGATCGGGATGGGCTATACTCATTCATATCTCTATCCTGCATAATAGATGCCCCGGACAGGAGGGAGCACCTGTCAATCAATCTTGGGATAATTAACCGCTAAAAAGGTCTTTTACTAGGAGTTAAACTATTGTTATTACACTAGCTTGGTGAAACTATTTTTTGGGTTCACTGGCGTATTCTCCTTCTGTTCATTTTTAACTATTTGTTTTGTTTTTGCGCATCAAACTTTGTCCAACAATATATAAAAAATTACAATGAAACATAAAATTTATACCAAAAAAATTACAATGAAACATAAAATTTATGTAGTGCTCCCTACGTCCCATAATTATTATCCCTCTTTCCTTTTTGGACCATCCCAAAATTTTGTTCCACTTTCCTTTTCGACATGTTGTTCACCTCCTTTCTCTATTCTAAAAAAATTCCAAACCCACAATTTCCACTTTACTAAAATGCATGCCAACTTGCCAAGTTAAACCCGAAGCATAAATTTGGAATGGAGGGGGTATATTTTATTTGGAACTTATGGATTACATGCTAACAAGGACAAATGATATTTGGAACTTTTCCATTGAAAATACTTTGACCCATATAAACAAAATAATGTTTGATAAAGGTACAAGTTTCTAATTTGACAAAGTACAAGACTCGAAGTCATGAAATACTACTGCATATAATATTTCAAAATAACTTTCTAACTTAAAATATCATACTCTCTCCGTCAAGAATTAATTGTCTCATTTTCATTTGCAGTCGGTCGCAAAAAAAAAAATTGATTCGTCTCACTTCTTTACTTTCCTAGGAAAGTAAAGAATATGTGGTCCATAATCTTTCTCTTTCTTCTAAACAAATTTCAACCATTCACTTTTTACTTTTCAACACTTTTCTTAAACTCTGTGAAATAAACTGAGACAATAAATTCAGGAAGGAGGGAGTATTTAGCTTGTTTGTAACTTTCAATGGCGAATTACATTTTTTAAAAAATGATTGTCATGAATCCTAAAAAGGACTATTTTTGGGGGGGAAATACTTATATAGTTCCTTTAACAATAAATGGTGCTTCCAAAACTAAATATTTCTCCAATACTGGATTAAAACTTCAGATGGAAAGACGGTTTTTAAATTGGGATGCATATGTATTAGTAGAATTTTTCGTGAGGCGCACATACAACCAAATACAAGTTGGAGACCAGTAGCATACCAAAACAGTGTAGTAGCTTGAAGACAATGGGGCACACTGTACACAGTCACAAGGAACCCAGAGCAAATCACTTCCAGCATCTAACGCAACAAGAAATGAGACATTTGGTGTTCCAATATCAATCCATGTATAATGCAACCTGCCCATGGGGAGAAGCCGGAGAACTATGTTAACAGAATTCAAAATGTAAAGATGATAGCTTGTCTTAAATTGTCAAGATCTTGGACCTTTTGGGATAATTTACACCACGAAATATGCAAGTAACTATAGTAAAGACCTTACCTATCAAAAAGAACAATAGGAAAATATTTCTAAATCAAGATACTGTAAATCCTTCCCACTCTAAAGCGTGGAACCCCTGATGAAGCATATATTACAAGTACTTAATTACATTCAAGAATCTCTGCACTTTAGGTAATGACTATTTTAGAATTGATCTTCTTGGTAAAGACGGATAAATAAATACTATGTGATTGGAAACAAAATATTAGTATACATATGCTTGTGGCAGCAATGGTACACAATACTCACCTTCTAATCATTCGTACGGAAAACGTTGAGGGAAAAAAATAGAATCAAAAATAGGGGAAAAGACTGAGATAATAGTAAATCATATCCCTAGAATCAGCAGAGTTGGGATTATAGGGATGATGGTGAGTCAATCATTCAGCCATATTATTGCTTTCCTCCCCAAACCACAACTATGTAAAGAAATCTTAAATATAAGTAACATCTAGTAGCTCCATGTCAATGGTTTTGCATTGATCAGATACATCAAATTACTTCCATTAGCAAATTTGGAGTTCGCTACCTTCAAACTAAAGCTAATTGAATGCATTGTTCCCAAGGAAGGCCATATGTCATTTCAAACTCAAAAGTACTGTAATAGTATTAAAAACGAATCCTATTTTCCAGGCACCCAAA